CATATCGTACTGTGTATGACTGTGTACGTGACAAATAAAATTTGAATTTGAAATTTGAATTTGAATTTAAATGCCATGTTGAGGCTGTCATTTTTAGCATTAAAATCACCCACAATAATTATTTTATCTGAGCTGAGCGCTAAATCAGATAAAAAGATAAAAAACAGGGAAAATACGCAAATGGTTGAACAGTAGATAATGAAGAAGGTCTCAAACTGCCAACCTTACCCACAAAGATGGTAAGAGACTTAGTCTAAACAAACAGCCCATTAGAAACCCCAGAGCCCCCAAAACAGTACCACACAATGTCCATGAACGGCCCTGAGGCCCGGTAATACATAGTAAGACACCGCACACAGCAGTGAAGGCGAGTGGCCCAGTTTACACAACAAAGTTCAAAGCTGGTGTAGCGTGTCAGTGAGGATAGCTGGCTAAAATTGAAGTGTGCTTTAAAAACAACAGCTAACCCTCTGCCCTGACCAGAAGCTCTCTGGGCACTAAAATAAGCACAGCCAGCCGGCAGTAGTTCAGAAACAGCTCAACTCACCACGTGAAGTCCAGGATTAAGTCAGACACAAATCCAACGCACGGGAAGAAAAGAAATCTTTCAAAACGAAGGTCTTATTTGTCACCATTCTGGCATTTATTAAAACCAACCTGAGGGGAGCTGGGTCGGAGACTTATGCAGCAGTGAGAACCCAATTCACTGGTCAAAGGTTTGATCGATCCACTCTCTGGCAACACGGATGCAAAGATGCAAGGATTTAAGAGGGCTCCTCTCGATAGTGCCGACAAGAGGAATCAACCAGGAGTCTAGAGCACACAATGGCACCGAGTTGTGGAAAAGATTAACGAACAGAGTGAAGATCGTAAGGAAGGTAAGAAATCGAGATTCTCAGCTTAGCAAGGCAACTTGCGCAGGTACCCCGTCTCCTGCGATGCTTCCCCATAGCTGGTGGCTGTGGGATGGGATGCCAGTGTGATGGTATTGCTTCCAGATAGGGAGGTAGAGAACCCTGGCTACCTTCACCAATCCGAACAAAACCTTTGGTGGATAAACCTATTTTCAATGATGTCTGGAGATTATAAGACTGTGGAACTGACATGTTGCACGTCATTGGCTTAATACCAGTAAAATGAGACAAATAAGAAAGAGCAGTAGATGGCATGCCAAACACACAGGCGCCATCTTGTTATTGTTTAGGCGCCTATATTTTTGTCTAATCTGTATAGCTGTACATTCATATCCCGTCCACATATCAAAATTCTTTCTATTTCAGATATCTTTAGGTCAAACACGTGCTTATGGAAAACCCAGTCACTCACTGGAGAGATATGTTCATAAAAACCTTGCTCTAGTATTTTTTGTGTTATTGATCTGACAAATGTGTCTGGAACATATTTGTCAAAATAAGCATTACAATTCAACTTTGGAACTTTCTGAATAGTGCTGCACAAAACCACAGCTAACAAGATAACAATAGAACAAATAATAAGAAAATAAACCAGGAATTCCATTTGTGGGTATTTAAAAAAGATAAAAGATAAGATCATTGATCAGCTTCATGATTGAAGTAGCAACATAAGAGGAAGGGGGAGAGAATGAGAGAAGAGAAAGCTGTGCAGCGTAATGACAAAGAATAACTCCAGCTTTTTGTCTTTGTGATCTTTTTTTTTATCTAGAAAGATGCTATATAAATAAAATTCTACTAACTTACTTACTACCTCCCCCCTGATAATTTTCATAATTTTTCTTTAGCATTCATCGATTGTTTGGATGAGCAATTTCATATAAATATATGATACAGCAGGTGAACACAATGATATTTGAGAAGTGACATGAAGTTCATAGGATTTACAGAAAGTGTGCAACAGTTACTGAAACTAAATTAGGCAGGTGGATAAATGTAGGCACCCCAACAGAAAAATAACAATATTTAGTAGATCCTTCTTTTGCAGAAATAACAGCCTCTAAACACTTCCTTTAGCTTCCATTGACAGTCTGGATCCTGGTTGAAGGTATTTTGGAAAATTCTTCTTTACAAAACATCTCCAGTTTAGTCAGGTTTGATGGCTTAAGATCATGGAAAGCCTGATTTAAGTCACACCATAGATTTTTAATAATATTCAGGTCTGGGGACTGAGATGGCTGTTCCAGAATGTTGTACTTGTTCCTCTGCATGAATCCCTTAGTGGATTTTGAGCAGTGTTTTGGGTCGTTGTCTTGTTGAAAGATCCAGCCCCGGCGCAGCTTCAGCTTTGTCACTGATTCCTGGACATGCTACTGATACTGAGTGGAATTCATGTGTCCCTCAACTTTGCCAAGATTCCCAGTCCCTGCACTGGCCACACAGCCCCACAGCATGATGGAACCACCACCATATTTTACTGTAGGTAGGAGGTATTTTTCTTGGAATGCTGTGTTCTTTTTCCTCCATGCATAACGCCCCTTGTTATGACCAGATAACTCAATTTTAGTTTCATCAGTCCACAGCACCTTATTCCAGAATGAAGCTGGCTTGTCCAAATGTGCTTTAGCATAACTCAAGCAGCTCTGTTTGTGCTGTGGGCGGAGAAAAAGCTTCCTCTGCATCACTCTCGCATACAGCATCTCCTTGTGTAAAGTGCGCCAGATGGTTGAACGATGCGCAGTGACTCAATCTGCTGCAAGATGATGTTGACTATGACTGTTTTCACCATCCTTTACCTCTGGTTATTTAAGAATTTTCTTGGTTTGCTACTTCGAGCCTTAACTAGAACTGTGCCTGTGGTCTTCTCACAGTGGAAGCTGACAGCTGACATATTCTATGTTCCAATAATTGGTACTACAGGTGTTCAAAAAAAAATAAAACAACAAGGATGGCTAAATTTATGCACCTGCCTAATTTAGTTTAAGTAACTATTGCACACTTTCTGTAAATCCTATGAACTTCATTTCACTTCTAAAATATCATTGTGTTTGTCTGCTGTATGATATATTTGTCATGGTCCCTGTGCCTCCCCGGCCAGCCCAGTGTGGCCACAAGTGTTTGTTGTTTTTTTTTCTCTCTCTCTCTCTCCTACCTGTCTGCCCTTGGCCCACGCACCTGCAGCTGATCTCAAGTGAATTGCAGTTCTCTGGCTCTTCTTAAGGCTGGGGCTCTGAGCTATTCGTCGCTGTAATATTGAGTGACCCTCGTCAGTATTGCCTGGCTTCATTGTGAATTAGTTGTTCCCGTGCTTGCCGCCGACTTACCCTCATCTATGTTTATAGGTTTATCTGGACCCGCCCGTTTTGATTCCTGGACCCCGTGAGTGTGAGTGGGTTGCTCGTGTGAGGAGTGTTTGGACGAGGAGCGGAGCAAGTGTGAAGACGTGTGTTTCCCCCCTATTGACCCCCGGGACCCTGGTGTTTCCCCCCCCTTCACGTGTACATAGCGCACCGGAGTGATTAATAAAGTGTTGTTGAACCGTGCTACCACAGTCTGCGCCTGAGTCCGTTCCACCACCGTGACAATATTTGAATAAAATTGCTGATCCAAACAGCCAATGACTTATTAAGAAAAGTCGTGAAAATTATCAGGGGTGCCCAAACTTTTGCATACCATGGTACCTGGCATATAGAACTTGTACATATCATGTAGATTATAATGTTACTACATACTTTTCCTGTGAAGGTACCTCTTAAACTTATGTCTGTTTTATTTTCTTATCAGATTCTAAAAGAATCTGAATTTGAGTTGATGACACTGAAATTCATTCACTGAATTCTGTCATAAACCAACTGTATGCAGGCAGTAATAGGACCCAAACGCAAACTCACTGAAATGAAACTAAAACTCAAAATGCACTTTTATTTGCTTAACAGGGAAAGGGGGGACACAGAACGATGCAAAACTAAAGTGAGAAATATTAATTTACTCAGGGAAACACAGGGAAACACTGAACTATGAGGGAGGATGCGACATGGAACTGAGGGAGACGCTAACATAAATACGCAGAAAAATTACAGGGATGTGGGAGCACATAGGGAGCACAGCTGATGCGAATAATCATAATGAGACAGGGGGAGAGCAAAGCATGACGTACACTGACGGGAAACTATCAAAGTACAACAGGAAGTAAACAGAGATGCAGACCGGAGGGGGAGAGAGAACATGATGAGCTGGGAAACAGATAAACATCACGGAATAAAACACGGGAAAACAGTAAAAGAACTCATGAAACTAAAAACACAATAAACCCTTGTATCTCCCTTGTGTCTTTGCCCTCCGTGAAAAGATAAAACTGAAGATTTGGCTTGAGAAAGCCTAATTCTAAATGAATTTAAATAAAACAAAAATAATGATGTTTAGAAATTGCAGATTTAATACAAATGTAAATAATCAAATCATGTTGATATTGAAAAGAGTCAATGAAAACAGATTTATTTGGGTAGCAATAGCTGAGAGACTAAACGGAAGAGCACAAATTAGACATATTAATTCTAAAGTAGACATCAGACATATCATCCGAAGCCTTAATACCAACCGTGGTCAGAAGTTGGAGAATGCACACATTTATGTAAGCTTATACTGTGAACTCAGAACATCTTCCTCCTGCTAAACATGGAACAAACAAGAGACCGCTGACTACAGGTCACTCATTTAAAGGATTCCTTTAAATGAGTGACCAGATCAGTATGATAACACATTTTACAGTTTGAGCACATATTTTCAACATGCAAGTACTTACACTATTTCAATCATTTACAAACACATACACTCAGCACAACTAAAACATGTTGACTGACCTCAGAGTCTCCAGTCTGCAGTCTGGAATCTCCAGAAAACCACACAGCTGCTTCACTCCTGAATCCTGCAGGTTGTTTTTCTCTAGGTCCATCTCCCTCAGATGGGAGGGGTTGGACTTCAGCGCTGCTGCCAGAAAATCACAGCTAATCTCTGACAAACCACAGCCCTTCAATCTGTATAAAGAATGAAAGATGTAAGTTTGTGTCTGTGTCTTGAAATCATTCAGTGTTTCATAAACAACTAAACAGATTCTGAAACACAAAAAACACTCGTGTTCAAAATGGGGCTATATATATATAAAGCTGAATTCAATTGAAAACTGAAAATAAATTTCAACAAACCCACAGAAAATGTATTATTTTGACATTTGTATCAACTGTTCAAGTAACAGGGTTCCTGCACCATTTTAAAAATCTAAAATCATGTGTTTGAGCTTATACAAACCAGACAAATCAAGAGTTGCGTGTCCAGATATGTAAAAGAGCAACAATTGCTGCAATGCAGTTTTTGATCCTGTTACTGGAGACTATTGCAATTTAAGAGGAGTAACTAGAGGAACTTTTAAAACATTTTCTCTGGAAGTTATTTAAAATTTCTGTGGAGCCCCAAGTCTAACTATATATGTATATATGCCAGAGAAGAAGAAAAACGACTTTACCATGAAGATCGTCATTGTGGATTAGTATAATATCAGCCTTATGTCTGGAGTTCATTGCAGCACAACACATCATATTAATCTCAGCATAACTAAAACATGTTCACTAACCTCAGAAATCTCAGTATACATTTTGGACTCTCCAGAAAACCACACAGCTGCTTCACTCCTGAATCCTGCAGGCTGGGTATTTGAAGATCAAGCTCTTTCAGATGGGAGGGTTTGGAGTCCAGAGCTTTAATCAGAGGATCATAGCTGATCTTTGATAACCTGCAGTCCACCAAACTGTATGAAAAATAAAGACATACATTTTTTACACAAGCTTGTGTTTAACATTATGCAGTGTCTCATCATCTGGACAGACATTAAAGTGTTTTAGAAAAACACTGGAAATTCCAAACTATCGGGGTAGTACTTTATGACATGATCTGGCATAGAAACAGATAAAGTTGTGTGTTAGCAGTGGAAAATGTATGCTATGTCTTCTGATGATACTTCCTAAGGGAAGCATGTATATATTTAGAATCAGAATCAAAATCGTGTTTATTGGCCAAGTATATGCACAAACACATACAAGGAATTTGGTTCCAGTAGATGGTGACTCTCAGGCACAACAATGTAA